ACATAGCTTTTCCACTTCCACCAAAATATGGCTGGCCATGAGCACGGTAATGCCCCGATTGGCAATGTTGTTTATGATGGCGCGAACCTCGGCTATTCCCGAGGGGTCAAGGCCGTTGGTGGGCTCATCGAGCACTAAAAAATCGGGTTCACAAAGCAAGGCACTGGCAATGGCCAGGCGTTGTTTCATTCCCAGGCTGTAGGTTTTGAATTTATCATTTTTCCGATCAAAGAGGTTGACGGTTTGCAGCACTTCATCAATGTTGGGATGCTTGAGCTCTTTAATGGCCGCCACAATTTCCAGGTTTTTCACCGCACTTAGGTAGGGGTAAAAATTTGGCGTTTCCAGCAAGGCCCCCATTCTTTGCTTCCGCGGAAGCGCAGCCTCCCCTTCAAACCACTCAAAACTACCCGAGCTGGGTTTGGTGATGCCCAGTACCATTCCTAAAGTGGTGGTTTTCCCACTTCCGTTCGGACCGAGAATTCCGTACACCGAGCCTTTGGGTATTTTCAGGCTTAAATTTTTTACGGCCTGTATGTTGCGGTAGTGCTTTGATAAAGCGTGAGTAACAAGTACGTTTTCCAATTTTTAAGTCTTAGGTTGATTAAACAACTTGAAAATTTTTCCGTATTTTTAGAGGTACTGAACTCAACAAATATAGAAGATGCGCAGCGATAAGGAGCAGACCACCTTAATAGAAAAGGAAATTATCAACCAATTGCGGTTTCCGGCCCAGGAAGTTTTGGCCGATAAACTGGAAATTGAACAGCGAACGGCTGCGCTGCACCAAGCCACAAGCTTGGGCAATTTAGAAAAGCACAAGGTTTTTATAAGCTTTTTAGACGCGGAGGGCTTAAAGCAGGTACACACCACCATTTGGGCCGTAACCGATAACAAGGCCATCTTAAAAGGCGGGCGCGTAATTCCGGTAAATCGAATTTTATCCGTTCGAATTAGTTAGCCGCAATAATGAACCGCTCCTCAAATGTCTCCGCCATTTTTTGAATGGCCCACAGGCTGTCTTCTGCACTAATGCCGCTGGGTGGGCCCTGGGGCGTGTTGTTCACGTCAATTACATAAATCTTTCCGTCATCTCTGTTGCGCAATACATCCATTTCGCCAAATTCAAGGGCAAATTCCGAAATAAAAGTATTGAGCTTCAAAATCTCTTCTTCACTCAGCAGTTGGCCAATGTGGGTAGGCTTGCAGTAAATCGGATTTTTGAAGCGCTCCTTTATTGATCGGTGTTTGAGATAAACAAAATCAATGGTGCCCTTTATTACCGGCACGCGAATGTCTTCCACGCGGGTGCCGTTTTCTACTTCATTGTTAATGAGCACTTGATAAAAATCGCCCGCACGAGTATTTTCAATGGGGCATTCAATTACCTGGTAATTGTGAATGGCATTTATATCGCTTTTCCGAACCGCTCGTCCGCTGTATTGGGTAGGGTCAATTTTGGTGTTGTAGCCAAATACCTGTTGATGAATGCGATCAACCCGTTCTTTGCTAATGTCGCGGTTGTGAAGGTTAATTACCTGGTATTTTTCGTTGAGCTTTTCCACCAATTGGTACTCTTCTCTAAAAGTCAGGTACTCCCAATAAACTACCCTTTCAAAGGTTCGGTTGGGTTTGTTGGTTACCGTGTAGCCAAGCGCTTTGGCAATTTTGTAAATGGTAGAGCCCCGGCTGGGGAAATGCGGATAGCATAAAATGCTTTTGCTCTTGAAGCCGTTTTTCCACCATTGTTTGGCCATCAGCGCTGCCTCGCTGAGATCTTTGGTAAAACGCTCAAAGGCTGGCATTTCCCGGTGGTATTTGTTCAATACCCCGCGTTTGTATTTGGGGAAAAAGTACATCAGCTTTGGGCTAATTCGTGATAAAACTTTTCATAGCCTTCTATGCTGTGCTGGCTGGTGAAACGGCTTTTGATGCGGGCTTTGGCGGCTTGGCCCATTTCTTCTGAGCGCCCGTGCTTACGGGCCATTTTTAAAATGGCCGAGGCCATTAGCTTCGGATGTTTTTTGGGTACCACATAGCCACTTTTCCCGTCTTCAATCATTTCGCGGTTGCCCGGAATATCAGTAATTATAGCGGGTGTTCCCATGCTCATACCCTCCAGAACCGATTTGGTAATAGACTCTCCATACAGGGAAGAAAGCACAAAGGTGTTGGCCATTTTCACGATGCGCAAACTGTCTTGCCGCCACCCCAAAAAGTGCACGCGGTTTTCTTTTCCGGCCGCTTTC